CTCCTGCGGGAGGCAGCCGACAGCCCTGCTGAGGACTGGAAAGCCACCCGGTGAGCACTGGGTCCTGGCCACCACTGTGCCAAACTTTCCTGCACCCCAGGCTGGAGAAGGGAGAAATCCCCCAGGACGAGGCATGGCAGGACTGCGAGGGTGAAATGGGTTTGTTACCAGTGACGAGCAGGGGCTAAGGAGCATCCCTGTGACCTGGCCAGCCCCTGCATCCCAGGCGTGCCCCAGGGTGGGTGACCCCAGGACAGGGCCCAGGGACTCTCCTTGCACTTTCCCCAGCAGGGAGAGAGCAGGACATGATACCAGCACTCGGTGCAGCCTCTGCTACAGGGTATAGGAGCCCAGGGCATACCACCAGCATCCAGCGAGGCAGCAGGGAACACAGTGCCCACCCTCGGGTTTCCCCTCTGTACCCTCCACCACAGCACAGGTGACCCCAGATGGATGAACCACTGTGATTTGGGGTTTCCTGCAGGATTGGCACCAGTGTTTTCACCCGGATAAAATAACAGCAAGTGGGGAAATCCAGGAGGCCCAGGATGGCAATGACATGGCGCTTCCCCCAGCCAGGCTCTGCCCATGCTGACGTGCTGTATTTCAGCAGCTCTCAGCCCACAGGTTCATGCTCTCCCAGGCAAGTTCAGCCCAGCGTGAAGGCTGGGCACAAGGTGCAAAATAAAGGGTTTTTGTGGGGATGCAGGGCTTGGCTCTGTTTTCTGCCCTGCCTCAAACCCACGGGGTTTGTCTTGCCCCACAAGCACCCTCCCATGGGGAGGCTTCGTGCAGCATCGCCGAGGGCAGCAGGGTCCCTGGGGATGGGGGCTGTCCCATGTCCCCTCCCTGGCAGCGGGCAGCAGTGTTGCGCTTCCAACCCTGCCGCTGTGCTGTGGGTAACTTGTCCCTCGGTGTCTCTCCCAAATGTGCCCAGGGGTGCGGGGCAAACTGGGCTGTGACCAGGCAGCGGGATGAGGCACAGCCTCGGTGGCCTGCCGTGGGCAGCATGTCCCAGGGATGCAGGGCAGGCTCCAGGCAGAGCCTTCCCCGTGCAAGCGGAGCAGAGGAAGTTTCTCGGGTGCCCAAATGCATGGAGCAGCTGCAAATGGCTTTTGCAGAGCCGGCAGCCTCCTGTTCCCAGCCCCGGCGGATGCGCTGTGGCGGCTGGCTGCCAGCCGCCCCAGGGGTGGGGAAAGCTCCCAAACAGCTCGTCCCAAGAGAGGCTCCCCGGCACGGACACCTCCCCCGAGCCACGAACCACACAG